TGGGCCTAAGGGAGAACCCACCACTGTGGTTTTGCTGAAACAGACGTGGGACCAACCACCTTCTAAATACTTATGCTTACACCCATAGATCAGAGTTGTTCTCAGGCTTGGTCAGGGAAGCCTTTCTGCGTACAGTTAATGCAGAGACTTACAACTGGTCACAGGGCCGAGACAAGTGCCTGCTGAGTGTTCGTCCCTAAACGGAACATCTGCGTCAACACCTCTACACAGCCAAGGCTCAGGGGACATAGCGGAAGAGAGACAGAAAGAACCTAAGAGCCAGAAGATGGCCAGGAGTCCCGTAAAGTGCTGTCTTCCGGACATGACACAGCCAGGGCACTCAAGCACTTACTGAAGCCGTGGTCACCTGCACAAGACCTGCACAGGACCAAGCCAGTAAAAGCAGTCAGCGTTCCAGCAAAGGAGAGGATGTGAAAATGGGACTGAGGTGTTTGGGTGTTCCTGGGAGGAACGGGAGAGGGGAGTTAGGGTAGACATAGTCAAGACACCGTTGTTCGCATGTCCAAAAATGTCAAGAGCATAGGTAAAAGCTGAGACACAGAGAGAATACGCAAGCAGCATATATAGCTGTCTGCCTCCCAAAACATGGAAGGTTTAAAAAGAAGAAAGATGGGACTGGAGAGGCAGCTCGGTGATTAAGAGCACCAGGTTCAGTTCCCAGCACACACGGTGGTTCACAACCATCTGTAACTCCAGTTCTAGAAGATCTGCTGTGTCTTCTGGACACTGCGCACCGGGCACTCACTTGGTACATAATCAAATATGTAGGGAAAAAAATCCACCCATACACATAAAATAAAAAGTATTTAAAAAAAGAAAGAACCAGTAGACGTAGAGGCACACACATCTTTAATCTCGGCATTGGGATGAAGAGGCAGGCATATCTCTGTGAGTTCAAGGCCAGACTGATCTACATAGTGAGTTCCAGGACAGTCAGAGCTACACAGTGAGACCCTGTCTCGAAAAAAGGAAGATGAACAGCCATGGCGGTAGTTGCCTGAAATCCTGGTATCTGGCTTAGAATGGAGATGATGAGTTCCAGGCCAATCTGGCTACACAGCTGGAAAAAGGGGAGAGGAAAAAAGGAAGGAGAAGAAAAAGGAAAAAAAAAGGAGGAAATGAATAACGGTGAGAAACGAACATTACACCCGAGGAAAGAGGCTGCAAAGCAGGCCGTAAAATGAGTCTTGTTTACTTCCGGGCGGGCAGGCTGGAGAAACAGGCCCCAAACCCCAAGCACTAAGGCGCTCAGATTGCTGGCGCAAGCAGCGGCGAGAGACCACGACCTTCTGCTATAGATTCTACTGGATGTTTGCGTGTTTCTCAGGCCGCCCCTTAGACCGACTCCTCATTTTTCTGTCTACATTACTCGTCCCTGCTGCATCGAGCTTCCTCAAAAGTCCGCGCTACTGCCTAGCTCGGTCCGCCCGTGCCCTGGGGGCAAGAGGCCCTCGTGGATCTTTCCACGCAGGTCTCTGGCAAACAGAAGGTGCCGCG